AGACTTTGCATAAGAGAGCGATCTTTTGCTCTACCGTTGAACAACTTTTGAATTCCTTTACCAGCGAATCTCCTTGTTTACGATCAGAAATACAAAACAAGCCATTGAGTGATTCTCTCACTTGGCTTACGAGTTGATAAAGTCTCTTGTCCATTGTGAACATCTCTTTGGTCCAATTGGAAAGTTGAAGCACTTGTAATAACGCAAGTATACCTCCATTTTCAATAAAAGAAACGATTAAAGGAGTAAAAGGAACTGAATTACGAGAGTTCATTCCTTCAAACAAGGTTGCACGTATTTCGCCAAGTATTCCGATAAGATAAGTCCATGAAGCAGGAAGTTGCGATAGAACATCGTCCAATTGTGGTTCTTCTTTTCCTACAAGAGAGCCAACTTTACAAGAAAATAAACTTTTAGCTGCCATAATATGTAATGATAATGCACTACCCAAAGCTTTGGCAAAAGAATTGGCAGCCTTGGATATTTCTGAGAGATCATCAGAACTTCGAATAGTATAACGTTGACTTCTATTCATCTTTTTACATAGAACTGTATAAAGTGGTTGTACAGCTGCTACAAAAGTTGCAAGAGACCAAGCCAAACCCTTGAGTGAGTCGCGAGGATAGAAAAAGGGCTGAAAACTAGATTTCAGTTTGTACTCTTCTTTGGCCTTTTTATCTCCAGTAGGGTCCCAAGTTGGATATAATGATTTGCAGACTTCTCTTAAAAAGTTAATATCTACTGGTTTCTCCAAGAAAGGGGCAGCATGTGTTATTCGAGCAGTACTAAAGTCACAAAGATCCGAATCAGAAGAAGCCACACTTATTTGAACATCTGCAAATGTACGTGATAGATGATATCTCGTTAGTCTTTCAGCCCAAGCAACACTCGAAATAAATGCGGAAGCATTTTGAGAGTTCCAAGCGGATAAAGGAAAATTGGAATGTTTTGCAAGCGATGTTAAAATTTGCAAGTCAATACAAACTCTTCTGGCAAATACAAATAATTTCCTTTGCAGAGCTCTTCTTTCTCTACAAGTTGTGATAACATTTTCAGTCCATTCTTCTGCAATCCAAACATCTCCTAAGGAAGCTCCACAATCTAGAAATTGTGCCAAGTCTTCCTTCGATACTTTCATTAATTGTTTAAAGACAGTTTCTTGATGACGTGATTCCAAACGATGTAAAGCATTGACGACAGAATGAAGACCTGAAAGATAAGGACTGACTTTTCTTGATTGTCTCGATTCTACGAAACCTAAACGTAAACTTAACAGTTGAGATACGCAATTGCGACTCATCAATGCAGCTTGTATCTCCCTATTTCCTTTTGCAAAGTTTTCAAACAATTCTGCTGCTACGCAAGCTGCAGTTACTCGAATATCTTCAGAGTGATTGCCTTCCACATGACTCACATTAGAATGGCTCATAGCGTGATGATCCAAACGCATCGTACAAGGACCACCACCAAATTCATTTTCAGAATCACTATATTCTTCCAAAGTAAAAGTTTCCTCCTTGTCCTTCTTCTTAGCAATCATTTTTACAGAATTACTTAAAAACGTAGTAAATGCGGATACAATTTCATTTTTTAAGGTTGGTACATGACGAACCAATTCTTCAAAGTTGCAGCCGATATCTGCTGCTGTATCTTCCACTATAGCTTGTGTAAACTGTGCGTGGGAAAGTAACTTGAAGTAGATAGGTAATACATTGGAATGTTGTATCTTCTAAACCAGCAGGAACCAAACAAAGAGCAGATATAAGATTGGGTATTGATTTGAGTGCACTATTGGAACAAGGAATTCCCCTCCCAAGTGATTCTATTAGAGCATCCGCTATTCCTGCTTCAATTAGAAAACCGGTTGTTGTTGGTTCCGAATGAGCTATTTGAGATACTGTCTTTCCAGCCAATGCAAAAATATCTCCACCATAATAAGCAGGTCGAGCTATCATTCGTCGAAGACATTTACAAAACTTGTTAGAAGCAATATCTCGCGTATATCTACCTCCACTCGTTCCATGTCCAATCATAAACAACTTTAGACAATCATGAATTACAATAAAACTAGCAAAAGGCAATGTGCCACGAAATGCAATAGTCGTCCGAACTATTTTTTGCGTTTCAGAATTCTCATTCAAATACTCTGAAACGGATTCCTCTGCTTGGATATCATCTTGTGGAGAATCACAAACTGAGTCTTCACAAACTTCCTTAAATACTCTCTCTGCTACAATATTAAGACCTCCGGAATCCCTAAAAACACTGATCAAGTTGCTATGATGTTCTAAAACAGTCAGCCAAGTACGAGCTGCTTGAGCAACTGTCTCAGAAAATAAAGGAACTGTGGAAGAAAAGATCAACAACATGCTCGGAAATAATCCTGCGTTACTTAAAGGAAATGTTGAAGGAGTTGAACAACTCTTCGTTAACCGTTCCATAAAATGAAAGAGTGATTCTACAAACAACTTCTTTTCTTTCCATCCCACCAATGAAGATATATTCCAACTATTTTCCATCAACAGCTGATCCATTCGAACAAATGAATGAATCTCTTTACGAATAAGAGTTGGAAATAAACCTTGATGACTACTCATACCACATGCAGATATAATAGATTCATGAAAATTGCGATCAATCCATAAACTGAAACATTCCACACAAACTCTTTGAAGCAAATAATCAGCTTTCCCTTCCAAAAAAGATACTTCTCCTGCAGCAATCTTTGCAAGCGTTGCAAATAAAGCGGGTTCCTTATTGAAATAGGAAGTAATACGAGACTCATGCAAAATACGTTCACTAAGAACAGCAATGACACTCACTCTTAAACAAATAAGAAGCAAACGATATATATTGTCCCAATGAAGACTTGAAATTTCATTGCATATACGAATATTCCAAACCAATTCAAATATTTGCTTCTTATCGGCTTCATTTCGAATCAACCATTCGACCAACAACAATAATCTGCTCTTCGAATTATCACTCACTTCAAGTAGAGCACTACTTGTAGATATCTTTCTTTGTTCCAAATAAGAAGCTTCTTCTCTATCACTTTCGGAATCTTCTAGTGAATCTTCTGTAGAATGAGATGAACTCAAATACAAAAAATCTTCTCTTTCTGGAAACAAAAACTTCTCTACTCTATAATCTCCTTGCAAAATCTGATAAAAAAGTTTTAAACCTCCTCTTTTGAACCATATTTCTGATAAAGTCGAAACCCTTTCAAGGAACGTGCGATTATCCTCACAATAAAACTTGAGAACACGGTACTTGGCACGGCTTCTTAAAACTGAATGAATAATTTCCAGACATAAAAAACAAACTTGCAAGTTGGGATGTAACAATAAGTTTGCCAAAGACTTGATCGAACTATATGCAAACCTTGTTTCCACCGAGGCTGACTCTACCAAGTGAAGCGTCGTCCCAAGTACTGCAATCAACTCAGTCACGTTGGCTTCGTCTTCCAGGAAACTCACATCTTGTAATATTCTTTCCCTGGAAACAGACTGACTAACAGAAGTTATGAAGACATCTGTGACAACTTTTACATATTTCTCAATAATAGAGTCTAAAAACTCCAGCAACTGGTGCCAGCAAAAAAGGTTTCTTTCACAAGGCTAAACATACTCTTTGTATCACTTTTTTCAAGAAATATTAGGATAAACGCATACCTTTTCCAAGGGTTGCTCACAAAACTCTTCACATCTTTCAACCACTTGACTGATACCGACAGCGTTGACAACTCTTTCTACCTTTTGTCTTATATATAAAGGCTTTCTGCGAGTTAAAACGAGGTAATAAAACGAACGAGCACACTTACAAGTTCGTAAAACTTGGGGAAAAAGGCAACTTTTGGCATAAGACTTCAATAGAAACTGTCACTCGAGAATCCTTCCACTGATCATCCGAATTTTATTATAGTCTCTCATTCAGTCTGTATGCGCTCTTAACATTATGTGAATCCATCACTGATAGTGGAAGGTTTCTCAACGATTGTCAGTACAATACAGAGACTGAAAATCTTTTTAGAAAAGCTTTTTATCTTTTTTTTAATATTCCAAGTTTATATAAATGTCTCTCAACTTTATATCGGATACGAGTCTTTAGGACATTGTGCGACATACATTAGATGTATAGAAGCTACTGCTACACTTCTATTTACAATGTTTTGTCAAAAGGTCTTTTAAGGATTACACACCCTTCAAGATACAACGTGTCCTCTATCCATTATGAGTCTCGCAAGATCCAAAGGAGGAGCCATTTTAGTGCCATGGCGTGTCCCATCTTTTGATTTGCGAGATTGACTCTTCATGGCTGACGCTTTTGTCAAGCACAAAATACACAATAATATGTCTATAGAGTGTGATGACAACGAAATGAATAAGGAAAAGGAGTTAGGGTTGTATAATTTGGATAATAGTCATACTTGGCTCAATATGAATGCTCCTGTGAGTCATGGAAATATGTCAAACTTCCCTCCAGGTAAAGACATTCCAGTATATTCTACTAGAGCTTAAAGGATATCTATTAGCTATGAGACAAATAAGAAATATCGCAGGGAAGCCAGCAATATTGGCTCTTTCCGCATTTTCATGTGGAGCTTGCTTTCTTGGAGTAGTCAATGTTGGTTTGATATCTGCTGATTTGCTTCCAACTGTAGCTCCACCAGCTTTCTTTTATAGCGGCTTTTGTATGATTATGGCAGGTGCATTGGCTTTTCTCAACAATGATAATTTTACTGGAGTGACATCTTCCTCATATGGTGCCTTTTATTTGTCATTTGGTGCCTATATGGTATTCAACTTTGAAAAATTCTTTGGAGCAGTACTGACTAGTGCTGAGTTACAACAAGGCATCGGTATCATGTTGTTCGGATTCATTATATTCAACACGTATTGTTATATTGCTTCCTTCATGTTGACTTTAGGACTCATGTTGCAATTCCTTTTCATCGAAATCTCACTAATTCTATCTATGGCAAGTATGTATGGTAAAATATCTCCCGTTCCAGGTGGTGTCTTTAGTATACTTTTGGCTGCAACGGGTTGGTACAATGCAGCTACCATACTGTTCGAAGACATGTTTGGAAGACATGTTCTATTCAACCCTCTTATGATTGAAGTCTTTGCATGGATCAGAAGAAGAAGGTAAACGAGTTGACCAGCTGGTTTTAGTTGGTGGATATTATGTTTTTCGGATGGATATGAATTCTGATAGATTATAATAAATGTTTTTCTATTTTGTTGTTTTGTTAAAAGCTGTCATGGATTGGGTTCATTTCATTCCTATGAATGGGATCACTTGTTGGAAGCTTTCACCTGACAAAGATATTCCTTGTCAGAATCTAACATACACTTATTTTGGATGATTCTATAACCTTGTCCCATTATTTGTATTGGAATGGGATTGTGAAAAATAGAGATGATACAGAATTTGTCACTGACTGCAGACCAAATAGAGATCTTGTACTTCCGCGGTATGTATAAAAGCCTCTCAGTTGTTTTTTCTCTCTCTCAAAAAG